ATAGCCTCAACCAATCAAAAGTTATGGGCAAGGTTAAAGTTGACAACAGACAGACAGACAAACAGATAAACAGACAAACAGATAAACAGACAAACAGACAGACAGGACAAAAACAATATACCCCCGGGATGATTCGATCCGGGGGCATAAAAATCTTTAACAATCTTCTTCCCAAGAACAGCAAAGCAATGATTGGTCATATTTATATGGAAGCATCCTCAGGTAGTGTAGATTTAATTTTCTTCAAATCATTACCCTCCAGGAGAACAGAGTTGCCATAACAGGGGATCATAGTTATACAAAGGAATATAGAGGATATTTCAATAAAAAAAATTTCATCTTACGAACAGCAAAGCCCAATCTAATTAAAATTAGATGTTCCGAATCCGCTACCGCTTCTCAAACATCTAACAACATCCCATTCGGGGTCACGTCAGAGCGACCTTTCGATTACCCAATGAAATCGCCGTCGTCGAAATCTTGGCTTATAGTTCGGATGCGATTCTTTTTTTACTGCCAAACCTAAACGCCCGAGGGGTTTCGTAGTAAACAAAATGTGCACGGTGAAGACCGTGCTATATATGAATGTGACGTGCGGGATATATAGTAGTTTGTGCATTTTCGTTTGCGTTATTCAGGTAAGAATGCCAGACTGGCGGCCTATAGTTCAATTTATACCAAAATTACTTTAATTCATCGTAAGACAGTCTACTGAGCATCAATAATGTAAAGGAGTAGCCGTGGAACTAATTTTAGAATTGTATACAGAAGGTTGAATCTGATTGGCCCAAATTTTTATGTTTATTCGTAATCGAAAGGTCGCTCTGACGTGACCCCGAATGGGATGTTGTTAGATGTTTGAGAAGCGGTAGCGGATCCGGAACATCTAATTTTAATTAGATTGAGCAAAGCCATTATGTGTCAAATTTATTCAAAAGCATCCTTAGGGAATGTAGATTCAAGTTTGTTCAAATCACCCCCCCCCCCTCCGAACCACTTTTATATTTAAACATTTCAATACTGAGCTGATTTCTGCTTTTTCCTGACCGAAGTGCTCAGGGAATCGATGTGGCCCCTGGGCCTCTTGTTTTATATAATTTACACATTATCGATTCGAATTTAATTATTTTAGGAATGACTCTACTTCTTGGCCAAATTATTCGAGTATAACCTGGTTTGGGTCAGTTTACGCGTAAACTGACCCAAACCAGGTTATACTCGAATAATTTGGCCAAGAAGTAGAGTCATTCCTTATAATTTAATTTTAAAATCATTAAATAACTATGGGTGTAAAATTTCGTTGCTTTTTATTAGTTCAAATTTGCCGCTCAATAATACAACCGTAGTAACGGAAGTAACGGAAGTGATGGGAAGCAAGGGGAGGTAAAAAACTGATTCATAGGCCTAGCAGCTTGTTTACATGTGGTAAGATCGAATTATTGTTTGAAGTTAAAGGTATATTTATTAAATCTGGAATTTTCCATGAATCCCGAGGACTGGAAATGAGAGGATTGTATGCATACAGATGATTCAGCTGGTTGTCAGGGGGGTGTGTCCCCATACCAAACCAGGTTATACAGAAATAATTTGTGTTCCTTTTTGGATATTAACCAATCAGAGGCTAGAATACAAACAAAATTAAATTATAACCAGAGATATATTTAACATTGATTTTTAATTGAAAATATGTTTATTTAATTGTAAATTAAATTACCCAGGCACGTAGCATCAAATCAATGGGGCGGGGGGGGGGGGGGGGGCAGTAAAAGTCAAATAAGGGCAATTAATGTAGTAATGTATGAATAAGATTTGGTGCTGAAAGAAGTTGACCCCCCCCACCCCACCCCCCCCCCACCCCACACACACACGCGCGTGCACGAAACAGGATTTTCAATTTTGTATAATTTCACCCCTTTTTGGGGTTAACATGTTTCTTTTTCAGATATTAATGTTGATTTTTTTTCTCAGCCCCCCATCCCCTCCTCCAACTTTTAAAAACGAAGCAACGTCCTTGAATATGGCTAGATTATTACATTTTTATATTGAGGATATGCGTTTTTTCTTCAGTAAAATTTGCTAACTTTGGGTCATCTTTCCACGATTTTAAAACGTTATTTGAGTGTAGTTTAAATCAAAGAAACGAGCAAATATTTGTAAGAAATGGAAAGAAGATCCCGAGACCATAAAAAATTAACCCCCCCCCCCCCAATATAAATTCTCATTTTAAAATCGATAGCTGTTGTGAAGCAGTGATTATTCAGTAGTATGCGTGTCCAATCCAAAACACTCTTGAAGGTATCGAGGTCTTTGGTTTAATCCTATCCTCGCATGAATCGATAACTTTTTATGCTCCCGTAATCGAAGATTCGGGGGCATATAGTTTTTGCCGCCTTGACCTTCTGTCTGTCTGTTTGTCCCCCTCCCCCCCAAAAAAATTACCTTGCCCATACCTTTCGATTGGTTGGAGCTATGGCTTTTATATTTCACATGTGTATTTTTTGTGACAAGACCTTTCTTTGAATACCATCAAATTTGACCTTTTGACCTTGACCTTGGAGTTTGACCCACTTTTGATTTATCAGACTTTAACCTTGGCCATAACTTTTGAATATGTGGTGCTAAGGCTTTCAAGCTTCACATGTGTATACCTTGTGACAAGACCTTCTTTGGATACCTACAACTTTGACCGTTTGACCTTGGAGTTTACTCTACTTTTGAAAAACACATTAACCTTGGCCATAACTTTTTGAACAGTTGGTGCTTGGGCTTTTATACTTCATATATGTATTCTTTGTTACAAGACCTTCTTTAGGATACCAACAACTTTGACCCTTGACCTTGGAGTTTGACCTACGTTTGAAAAATTTAACCTTGGCCATAAATTTTGAATAGTTGGTGCTAGGGCTTTCAATCTTAATATGCATATTCCTTGTGACAAGACCTTCCTTTGTATACTAACAATTTTGACCCTTTGACCTTGACATTGGAGTTTGGCCTACTTTTGAAAAACTTTAATCTTGGTCATAACTTTTGAACATTTGGTTCTAGGGCTTTCATATCTCATGTACATGTGTATCACTTGTGACAAGACCTTCCCTTGGGACCATTTGACCTTGACCAAAATGTTTTACTTACTTTTGATAAACTTTTACCTTCGCCATAACTTTTAAACGGTTGGTGTTACGGCTTTAATATTTCACAGGTATATTCCTTACTCAAGACAAGGGGTAGGGTGGGGCCACAATGGGGGATCAAATTTTTACAAATGAATATATAGGAAAAAATCTTCTGCTCAAGAAAAACAAAGCCATTTGTTATATTGATATGGAAACATCATCAGGTAGTTTAAAATTCAAGTCCCCCCCCCCCCCTCCCTGTAAACTTTTCAATACTGAACTGATTTTTGCTTTTTTCCTAGCCAATGTGGTCAGGTGAGCTATTTGGCCCATGGACCTCTTGTTTTTTTTTTTTTTTTTTGCTTGTCAGGGAATTTTGGTACTTGATAGTCCCCCCCCCCCCCTCCCCATCTGAAAATGTATGGTTGTGCCCCCTCAAAGTGAAATTGCTTTTTAAGGGCCTGTTGCATTTGAGAAACTTTAACCTTCACCATAAGGTGCCATATGGGGGCATCAGTGTTTCACAAACACATCTTGTTTTTCATGCAATCAATCAGGTTGATTGTCAGTTTATTAATAATTCTATTTACCTATTCATTGAAATCTTCTCCGGAACAGCAAGCATCTACATGTATAAATCTATGAAGTTTGAATAGTTTACTAGTATTTGAAACTTAGCTAAACACAAATTTAAGACAAGTGAGGTCAAGGTAAAAGGAAAAGTCAAGGTAAAAAATTTGATGAAGGTAGATAGCTCTCAGAGAAATGTCGAGGTAAAAAAAATGTTAATGAAGTGGAATAGCTCTCATAAAAATATCTTAAATACTATCTTTGAAAATGAACTAGACACAAATTTCTTATTAGTGAGATAGTGAGGTCAGGGTCAAAGGAATGGTCAAGATTAGAAAATGTTGAACCAGTTGAATAGCTCTTATCAATGTGCATCAGCATATTAGGTTAGATAAAAAAAATATCTTTAGTAGTTTCTTTGAAACAAATATTTAAACAGTGAGAATCAGGTCATGGGAAATGTCAAAATTTATCAGCATATGAAGTTTTATAAAAATACCTTTAAGAATTTCTTTGAAACTGAGCTAAATGCAAAGTGTGACCGAAGGAGAGAAGGTTGGAAGACGAACATGACAAACACTACATGCCCTGGTCATATTCATGGTAGGCCATAAAAACAAAACCTAGGTATGGTAGATATAATTCATCTGAAACTTCCTCTTTTAAACCCCTTCCTGCAAAATGTATAATAAAGGTCCATGAGAGTTTGAGCAAAGACAGGAATTTCTCATGAATTCCCTCAGGAGTTACAAGATTTTGTGATCAATTACAATTGTTTTTTAATTAAATTAGATATTTTGGTTTCTCAATTCTTGGTTTTATTAATCCTGAATGATCACTGAAGGTAATTAATTATAATTGGTCATACATGCGATAAATACTTCTGTATGATAGGCCCAAGTGAACATGGATTTGTTTTATCCAAGCTGTTATATTTTCAGGGATGGTTTAGATTCTGTTAGGCCTAGTTGATAATAATTTTTTGATTGCTAAATTTTCACACTAAAAGTCACACTTAAACTTAATTTTAATAAAAAAAATAAAAACCGGTAGGGAACTAATAACAAGATGATTGAATTTGATTATAATAAATAATTGCAGAAATATGGTTGTATTATTTGCATTTGCATGGAATTTTTTGACAAAAAATTAGTACAACCATCAATGTAGTCAAAATTACAACTCTGGCAAAATTTCCAAGTTTACACTATACACACGTCCCATATGTTTAATCCCCTCATACATTGTATCTTTTAAGTCCGTTTCTAGACTAACAGTTACACAAAAAATGTACAATATGACAAACAAAAGTACACATATATAATGTATTTAATGATGGATTTACAGAACAAAAATATACAATCAACATTATGTATAGAGAATGACAATCAGAAGAATGGAATGCAAACAATAATGTGCCTCCTTATTTCCATAGACTATCATGTGATATAAAGGCACAGTACTGTCAATATAATTAGCATATATATGATCTTGTTGTGGAACAAAATTCAGTATGCATAAAGCATATCTTAATAATCATAAAATATCACAGAAATTAATTTTCCTTTCTTATTAAAGGGAAATGAGTGGTATATCACTCAAATTTCAGTATAGAGTTATCTCCCTGTAGCTAGTTCCTGTTTTTTCCTATGCTGTCTCATCTTTTACTTCTACTGTCTCTTCTTTTTCAGATGCAGGTTTTTCAGCTTCCTGTTGTTCCTCTTGGGGAGTTGGTGGTGCAGAAGGCTCCTCAGGTTCTTCAAAACAGAATTCATATATATACAATTTCAAAAAATTTACTTTTTAAAGTTAGTTTTAGATGATATTTACAAATTTCTTTGTACATTAATTTACAATATATGCAACTAAAATGATTTGTTTTTAAAAATGTCACTTTTACTTACTTGGCTCAGGGAAAGGCTTTTTGAAATCATCAGTCCTGGAATCTTTCCATTCACAGAGTCTCTCCAGAGCGGGTCTGGTTCCCATGACGATGTGCTCACTCATTCCCTTCAACATTTTGTGAGCCATGGCTATGCCATACTGGACTCGGTTTGTGTTGATAGACTCCAGGTCTGACATAGATCTGGCTATATTATAGGCCTTACTGAAATATTCTGTTGCTTCATCATAACGTCCCTGAAATTTAAAAAATCTGTATAGCAGAGGTCACTTTTAAAGTCTTTTACTAATAAATCAATTACCAGGTAACTTCAAATTTATTGGAAACTGATGATAATGGCATCAATGATGTTTGGGGTTTTGACATGGGCAAAAAAGAATCTACAAAATTATTTTTTACTTCTTTGATGTCAATATTTTTTCATATATATCTTAAAATAAATATAAAACAGTCGCACATTTCTCATGATCGAAACTGTAAAGTATATCTGTGAATACATGTGCAGTGTACATGTATGTGCTATTAAATAACAAGTATGATAAAATGTAATATATTTAGTTTTCAGCAATCAAAGTGTAATTTCTGCCATAGAATTTTATAATTTAGAATAAATCCCAGAGATAATGATCATCTGTTCAAGATAATGAATACTCGTATTTTTTTGTTTGAAATAGAACATAGCAGCTGATTATACTAGTACTCACCAGAGAATTGAATATGTTTCCCAGATTATGACAAGCTTTACTGAGACCTTTTTCCTCCCCACTTTGCTCTGTTACCTCCACAAACTTTTTCAAATAATCTATACTTTTTTCTAATTTGCCTTGTCTGAAATTAAAGAAAAAAAGTTTGAATAATCAAGTACATGTAAGTAGAGAACTTATATTCAAATTTTCATATTTTTTTGGTCTTTTTTTAATTATTCATTCATTAAATTTTGTTCTTGTTTGCAACGGCATGCAGTATTTTGTATAAATAATTAATAATAATTATAATAATTTATAATAATATGTGGTTGATGTTCATCTCCTTTGATATATTCAAAATTTATTTCATTCTTAAAACAAATTTTTCATCATGAATAATTTGATTTGTTTAAAAGAAAAATTGAGATAATTTTATTTCATTGAATATTGCTTGCTTAACTGATTTTGCAAACAAATATATGCAATATGTACAGGAATTATAATATACATGTACAAATAAATGCAAATTTGTACTGTCAACCATGTTTTTATTTTCCATAAGAAACTTCATAAACCTTCTTCACCATAAATTTTCCCTAAATTAAAGAATATGTTAGTATTTTTATCCCTCCAATAATGCAAATTTTGTTTTAATTCAATAAAAATATCTTAAAATGTTTTATAGACATTTATTTTACCTGGCATAAGATTTGGCAATAGCATCACATGCTTTGCCTATTCCATCACTATCCTTTGTAGCATTACATGTGTCTAAGTAGCTTGTTAAATACTGCGAGAAAATTAAAAATAACTAGATCATTATCTTTTCAGGAAAACTGCATGATGCAATAGGATACATTGAGACAAATGAGATGAATTATTAATTACAATCAATTCTGAATACAAGTTTCGGAAAATATATTGAAATGTCAATCAAATGTTGTATTAATTAATGCTTCAATGATGACATATCCTTCACAAATGATTCAGAAATAAGAAAAAATGATTAGATCAATAAAAACTTAAACTAAGCAGTATTCCTATTAAAGAAACAAACCTCTAAAGCAGTTTCACCCTCTCCAATTTTATCATAGGCTTGTCCTAATCTATAGGCAGCTTGTCCCTCTAAAACTCTATCATTGCCTTAAAAATAAAACATTTAATGATACATTTGCTTCTTCAGAAGATATTATTTCAGTGATTATAACTGTGTACTCGGAAAAATGAAAAATTATAAGATTTTTTCAGTGAAAAAAATTATGTGATCATATTTTGGAGGAAGTCTTGTTATCGTAATTCTATTTCACTTAAATATGGAAATAAAACAATTTCTACAGTGGGAATTTGCATGGACAAATTTGAATATGATCTTGACTAAATACAAAGACCTGGTAGTCCATTTCTTATAGTCCAGTACTTTTAAATGAGATAAGATTTACGATAAAATAGACCAAAGACAATAATGGTATCTGTATCCTTACTTTCTGTGGCAAATTTATGGGCTTTGGTGAGGTATTCAAGTGATTTCTGTTGGTCCTCCTCCTCCAAGTTCTGACCAATGGTTGTGTAAATGCGACTTAAATTAATACAAGCATCTGTATGATAAGTCAATCCATCCCCTTGGATCCACTCCTTGTGTTCAACAGCAAGTTTGTAGTAGTTCTCGAAATGTTCAGCCGCATCAAAGTATTGACCTAACAAAAGTATATAATATCATTTCAGTTATTTCACAAAAAGATAACATTAATTTAAAGCTGAAATATTAATTTTATATGTATAACATAATAATCTACATACTATAACATAACATAAATATTTGTTGGGGACTTAATTTTGTTTATTTCGTTGTTGACAATTATCAACAAAATTAAATCCCATACAAAATTTTATATTACTATATATGACAGATCAGTAATATTATATTAACTTTGTCAAGTCTAAATGATAAATTCCACAGGGCTAAACTCCAATAGTTTTGTTTTAGCACTATCAGACACTGCATCTAAAATTTTTACAGTACATTTGTATTACACATACCATTCTCTTCAAGTGCAGCTCCCACATTGTAATAGCCTTGAGCTCGAAGCTTTCCTCCGTCCCCTTGAATGTTACTACTAGTTTCTAGACAAGTGTTAAAGAAGTGATCTGATAACCATTTGTCTCCAGTTGACTGAAAGTAGCGAGCAAGCTCGTATCTGTTGTGGTACACTTCTGAGTAATCACCTGTAAAATTATCAAATAATCAACATTTTAACTTTAAACTTTTAAGAAATGTAATTTCCATTAAATTTTGCTAAAGTTGGTCTCCCTTTTTTGTGCCACCAAATAGACAATTCAAAAGGGAGCACTGTACAGTAAAATTATATATTAATTAGGTAAATTGGTTTGAAAAATGCAATGGCATATTCATGTATAATGAGAGCACTCTATAGTTAATAAAGATAAAATATTTGAGAAAAAATATGACAATGATCACTGGTATATTCTTGAATGAAAATCTAAATGTATTTCATCATCTAAAAGCCATGATATATGAGTGTGTGTGTTTTATCACTAGTTGGTAGCTAAGTAATACTGTAAATGAACATGAAATCAGCAGATTCAAAATTGAATGTAATCGGCTCATCATCATCTGATTAGTGCAATCATAAATTAGCGCATTTGAAGCCATGCTTCTATGAACATTTTTTTTATTGTATGTATTGCGTGTACTTTAATTTACAGACAAGAAGCAGTGTGAAAGGCACTATGATATGACCACCATTAAATTAAGTTTACAGTAACCTAGCAATAAGTAGCACTGGTAATGATTTTACTTTATGTGTGTTTGCTCTAAACATTTAATTGTGAACCAAATTTTCCAGCAAATTATCCTATTTGGAAAGGCGTGCATGATAAGATACTCATTTTCGATTGTGTCGTCTTGGGCCTTTACAGCAAGCTCAGAAAAACACCTTGAATACATTTACATAAAAGAATTTTAATTTTTTTTTTTTTCAATAAAAATTTGAGTTGCTCCCTATTTATTAAAGTATTGGGCAGATAAAGTCCAATGTCCCTCCTGTAGTATATTTTAGGTAATATCTTTACATTCAATAAAGCTCCAGACCATACAAATAAGAGGTCTCCCTACATTTATTTCTGAATCAATACTTCTGAATAAGGGGGCTGTCATGGATGCCTAAGTAACACATTCGAGGTTATTTTTCTGCTTGTCGAAAAGGACCAGGAAGTTGCAATTGACTAATAATTATGAATACATGTATTTACAAACTTGATCTACCTTTTCTGTGAGCTTCCTCTGCTTTTGTCAGATGAAATTTAAGCATGTTTAATTCCTGATGTCTGTCTTTTAACATTGTTTGTGTCCACATTAATGATTCTTCTCCTTGTGCAAGTCTCTCCTCTTCTTGTTGTTTGATAAGTGCAAAAAGTTCACTGAAAGACTTGTGATATCCATCTTGTAACATATCCAGACACAAGTTATGTTTGTATGTGTTTCTGTAGCTGTTAAATTGTAAGTAAACACAAAGTTAAAATGTTGTTATGTTACAACTTAACATTCCTACTCAGATTAACTTCATTGATTTTATCAAAGAGGTCAAACATGTTTAAAACAGCTGGTTGAACATATAAATGGATATCATTGAAAATATCTTTTAAAATGGATATGTAAATATATTTAAAAAAAAAAAGCACTTTGTGTTTCATAAAATCATCAGGAAATTTTTAAAAACTTCTGCAACTGAACATATGATGAAGAAATTTACAATTTCCCAAGATAAATCTCAAACCTCTGTTTTAATTTCAATTTAGTATTACATGATAAAAATATAAATCGATTTTGCATTTGTACAATGAGCATGAATGATTTCCTTTGGAAAAAAATTGTTACATATATGTGATTCTTCCGGCGGGAGACAAAATCTCCCGATATTTCACCCCCTTCCGCCCCTCCCGATTAATTTTTAAATCTTCCGTGTTTTAAAATTCTTCAAATTAAATATTATTTGCAATATTTTTTTTTTATCATGTTTCATATAATTGCTTAGAATGAAAAGAAATTGAGATAGCAACGCCAGTACAATAAATTTTCACAGCGGTAGGCTTCGTAGGAATCAACATGAGGTCGTATAATTATGTTGTAAAAATTAGTGATATATCAACTTGATAAAAGACCATTGATGTTTATTACTGAATGCAAAACATTGTAATTAGTTGCTAAAATACCCAGTTGTCATTTTCTAATGCTGCTTTGGTCATTAAAAGATACAGTTATAATGTAGGTCACACTCTAGTTAAAAATAGATCACATTACAGGGTGTTGCTAAAATATACCTGACTCTAATTTGTTTATTTTTTAGAGGGTACTTTTTTTCATCTGTACATATTCTATTTAAAAACAAATTACTGGCATAGAATTTGTTACATAAAACCTAGCTATGTTTTACTTCACTTACTAGTTGATATATCAATACTAAATCAAAAAATAAAATTTTATCCAATGTTTTAATGATGCTGTTAACTCTTAATTAATTTACTAGTAAATGAGTTGATTTCATTTTGAATACTCAATTTCACTTCATTTGAATAAAAACTTTATCATATTTTTCTTAAAACTAGACAACAACTTCATAAAATAAAATTTGTAGAGTAATAAACTGGGAGAAGGTATTTTTCTGGAATTTTGGGGGTTGGATGGTCTTTTGCGATTTGAAAAAATGTCGATAAAAAATCTCCAGCTTTGAGACCCAAACTCCAGCTGAAAAATTTCAAATCTCCAGTTGTGATTTTTCAGTTCTGTCACATGTATGTAATGTTATAATTTATCAACCATATGGGTTGTAATTAATTTTCTTTCTGGGTTTCAGAACTGTATTGTGTGTAAACGATTTAAAGATTCTGGATGGGCTAACCTTGCTGTTTGTTTCTTTGATAAATCTGGCTGTTGTTGTCTCAGAACTTCTTGTTTGAATAAAATTTCCCTATCTGTTTTTCCAATTTTTCGCAGTGGTTTCAACTTCCCACTGGGTGGCCCCTTGGGAGCTGGCACGGTGTATCCTTGTCTGCTCATACTTGGAGACTTGTTGATGGGCGGCAGAGTGGCCGCCATTGTGGCTTTTTACATGCACTGAAAATGTATATGTATAATAAGTAAACTGGTGCATGTCAGCACAAAAATGCGTTTTAAAAATACTATTTTATACACATATTGTTAATTAAGATAAACTTAATACGTGCATTTCAACTTAACTCTATAAATAAAATAAAATTGCACAGAAATGAGAATCATAGAAATGTGTTTTCTTAGTTTTCATGATGACAAAATAAACACATATCCAGTTATAGATCTCTACAATAATTACCATTATTTCTAAACATATATAGAGACAATGATATCTTTATTAAATGAATTCAATTTTTCAACAACATAGATATTTTTGTCTAGTCATTTAAATACACTGGTAAGTTACCTAAACTCCCAGATGAATGGCACTAGTTCGTTTCACTTTTCTGCCATTAGTTGTTGGTTGACATGGTAGCAACTATTCCGCAGTGACTAAATAATTATTTAAATTATTTCCAAAAATCCTTCATTACTTTTTCCGCCTTCCTTGGAACATTTAATTCTTTTGTTATCATAGTTTTGTTAAAAAGGGTAGATGAAATACGAAAAAGTTATTTGATATAAATTCATTTTGTCCGTATCTACTTGATAGAGTGTAAACATCCGGTTATCAGAAGTTTACGATCAATCTCCTATGCAGAGTTGTCGTTCGTCTTCTCTCAGACACCTCTGAATGTGAGATAAGCCGATGGTAGAGAGTGGTTTACGATATGTATTTAAAGATAGATACCTTCCAGTAGCTCTGATGAATTCATAACACTAAGGATTGTTCAATGTGGTGGGTTATTTCTTTTGCTTTCAAGACATTTTGTATATTTGAAAAACGGGCAGGTGATTGGGTTCCAAAGAAGGTGGGAGAGTATACCGTCGATTTAATTCAGTTCATTTCAATTTGTATGTTGGCCAATCAAGGGACTTAATGGGAGAAAAATAAAAAAAACATTGTAAATAATCATATAAAGTCATATACATGTAATGCAATATAAATACACACAAGAGAAAAAGAGTTGCATGATTGAAAGGAAAAAGACATGAAAAGGAGGAATAAACCAGATAGTATTTATACATATAGGCCTACATAAGTTCTGAGCAAAAACAGTACAGTGTTTTTTGAAGTGATGTGTATTTTATAATGTACTATTTGGAGAAATACAGACATGAAATTGAATGGCTAATTGCTATTTTTCATCTTACAAGGTAAAAAAAAATGTTTAGCCAAACATTGTGGGGAGAACTGCCTCCTCCTCCAGACAGTGACAGGGGTATAGCAGCTCTAGAGCGAGAACAAATGACAAAGCTGAGATCCATAGAAGTGGAAGGCCCCCGTCTCCACCAACCATCTAGTCGCCATCAACCCCCCTCTAAAGAGTAATATAATTTTTGTATTGGTAAAAAAAATGCACATGTACATCTAAGTAAATATTCATGTGTTGAACTTCATGAGGTTCTTTCAATAAGTTGCAGTAATTTAATTCTAATTTATCTTATTTATTTTGATGCAAACACTACACACAAAAGTAATGCTGTCTCAGTACAGTTAATACCATATAGAGATGTACATGTTTTAAGTGAAGCAATGTGCATGTTTTGTTTTATTTTTCACTGTGCTAAGTATTCATCAAATAAGTGATCTGCTAGGATCAACCAAAAGGTTTCTTTATATCAATATATCATGGTATCCAGTGAAATATCCATCGCTTTGTGTTTCTATATGATATTTACATTTTGATAAATTTTAGCCCTTTACCAGCTGAGAAATTTGAGATGGACCCAATTCTTGTTCACACAATCAAGTTAATGCAGCATTCAAAGAAACTAAGGAATATGATCAGTAATATACAGCAGCAGCAGGACGGAATGGTGATTTATTAAAAACAATTTTATATGATAAAAGCAAGTAACAAGAGTTCAGTTGTTTTTCAAGAAGATTCTCGACTTCTTATTTTGACTTGAGACAAAGGCCCAAGTGTGCAGTGTCTACTGTAGATTACATGTTTTACATGAGTACTTAGAATTGCCAAATGACCCTAAGACTTCATATTGCGAGAACAATAATTTGCGAGTAGTGGGTTGATCAAGAGATTTTTCTTGGATTTCAGCACTATGAAAATAAAAGCTAGAAAATTTATTTGTGAGTGGTGCTTCTCATGAAATTATGCAATAATTTATTTTTGGCTTATATTTAGGAATCTACAGAACATGTATTTTACATTTTTACATTGTTTTACAATCTTAAATTAACCAGAATTACAAGGCTGATTTCAAATTGAAATGATCAAAAAAGCATTTCTTTGTATCAGGGATTCCAATCTTTTCAAATTAAGGACCTCACTCTTCTCAAATGGGAGTTATGAAATTGTGAAAATTAGGACTCAGTAGTGTTGTCAGTGAATAAAAACAACAACTTTTTCTCAAGAAAAGTTGTTGTCCAAATATGAAGATTACTTTTGAAGCCTTTATTATACAGTGTAGATGCTTTGTTAAAATCAAGGAAGAAGGTATCCTGGGCTTGGACAGGTTCACAGTCAAACCACATTATCTTGAACTTGATGGGATGAGTAAAATCTTCAAGATATTGAAAAGTTTAGGATACTGAGATTAAAATACATAAGGAAAAAGTGGAAGGGACTTACAGTTCACTTCAACATATCAGTGGTATTTGAGATATCAAAGTTCAACTGTACATGTTGAAAAAAAAAATCAGCATTATTCTATGGTCTGCAAATTTCATAGCTTATTAGTACTTTATTTTGTAAATTTAAGGGTTCACATTTAGGTATCTTTGGTATGCTTTGATACAATTTGCTTTAGCCAGGCCTATTTTATTTTCCACTAGGATGTAGATATGAATTTCCCTCCTGCACCTCCTATCCCAGAGTACACTGGGCCTCCAATCAAAAGCAGGATGATGGGACCTGTGCCATTTCTTCCTAAAGACACTGAAAGGTATGAAATGTTGTCAATTTTCACAATTCTAAAACACTGTTTTACATTAATTACGGCACATATAGTAACAAAATATCAAAAAAACTTAACAGAAACTTTTTAAAGAAGTTTACTATTGTAACACTAAAACATCTTATATTTCCTATACAAAGAAACCTATTTTTTACAATAAAAGGAAAAACTTTAGCATAGTTTTTGTACTTTCTAAATGTATGTATTGATGCGTGTATCAATCATGAAATTTGGTAATTTCAGTGACTTTGTTAGAGGAGTCGGGGAAATTCCGCCAGTGGTTGATGAAGAGGCATGTCATAAATTACTCCGCAAGTCTACAGCAGCACTTTGTGCACATCTTGGATTTGATAGTATGTTGTTCCAAAGTAACACACATCTTATACTGGGGTTTCAGGTGCAAAATTGAATGATCTTCTTGGCCTTATTAAATGATCTTTTCTGATATGGAGATGCTTTGGATATTAATTGTGTTTATTGGATTTTGTGCTTTCCTAGATAGTGATTTGGACTGACATACATGTGGTGGCTTACTTGGTAGATATTTAAATATTCATTGGAATGGGGGGGGGGGGGGTCAAGGTTTGAATCTTGGCTAGTTCATTGCAAGTAAGCAGTGACATTATTGCAAAGAAAACAAAATGTATCTACTTGCAATAATTGCATAAGTCTTAATTTGGCATAGTCTAATGTAGGTTGGTTGAGTCCTCTGAAATTCGGTGCAACTCCTCACTATAACATTCCAGGTGTATTGTAATTAGGGTACTGTAAATCACTTTTTATTAGTGAGAACTTTATTTTTCATGTAATTATGTAAGACAGTATACTTGCAAATATTTCAGTTTTGCCTATATTTGTATTCTTTAAGATTAAGCCAAAAAAAGTAATAGTCTTGTTTCCTGCTACCCGACCGACCCTATTATTTGTGCCCAACCCTAAAGTTTTTTTTAGTTTAAAAATAAAAAGTCGGGAATTTCTGGAAGTTCATCGTTCTGTCACTGTAATCAGTTTCCATGTTAACACAAAACAAACATTTCATGAAATTTTCTGTTTTAAATATGGACTTTCATAAAATACCACTTGAGTTGTGCATCAGATGACATGAAATTTAATTCTAAAAGACAATATTGATCTGTGACATGTTCAGTTTGATCTTGTATTAGTTCATATCCAAAAAATGCTGTCAAAAAAAAAAAAAAAAAATAAAATAATTTTCCTACCTACCTACCCTATTTTTTTCAGGCTGTAGCAGGAAACAAGACTATTATTTTTTTTTTGGCCTTATATTGCACAGGAATCAAAATCCGTGAAAATTTTGTCAGAGACAAATTGTCTCACTAGAGTAAATGACTATTTCATAAATATAAGATGTTGCAAAAATTTAGTGTTTACAGTACATTATTTATTTAATGGCTTCAGGAAAACAGTACTGTACACTTTGTTTTGCTCCTTTTCCAATTGCTTTAATTAATAAGTGGAGAATGGATAGAAACATTGGGTAGCTTTTGCTTTATGGTTTCATATTTTGTAGGCTGCAATGAGAGTGTGTTGGAAACATTGACAGATGTAGCACATGAGTATTTCCAAGATTTTTGTACAAGACTTAGAAATGCAGCAGACAACAAGCTTTTACATGGATATTCAGGCTTTCCTGTAAGTATCATCCCTCAGAACCATTTGTTACTTTCATTTTCCTCTCATTACTATGTAACAGGTGGTAGTAAGATTTCAGTATTTTTAAGATGAAATGTAAAAATATGATATACACACATAATATATAATTTGAGATACTAACCTTTTATTTATTTTAACAAATAAAGATAATTTTTGGGACCCTTTTCTTTTAAAAATTTTTAAAGTTGACAAAATATTTTAATCAGCATTATAAAGAGCAGTGTGTTAATACTTGCTTCTGGAATTTTGATTTATCAGGATATTGTGGAACAAGTTTATCATGAGATGGGAATAGGAAGTGTTACGAATATTCATGACTTCTACCAGTCACGGATCATTAATCACCACACCTCAATGCAGCAGACTTGTGCTCAGCTAATGACTGAGTATGAAAAGCTAAAACAACCAATCATGAATAAGCAAATGGATACAGTACCAGTCATTAGGTAATATAGCTTCTGTTTTCGTTTCAGTTTTTTGATTGATTTTATTTTTTTGGTTCTTTGGTGAATAAAATTGCTTATCTCCCCTGTTGATAGAACTTTCCTCTTCTTTGTTTGCTGATATGACTTGCCTTTTTTATATTAATTTACTCATGACTGGCAGATTTTGATAACTTAAATGCATGGAACTATATCACATCCTCTTTCAGCTCTAATCACATTTTAGAAATGAAAGATAATTTGGATCTTGCTATAATGCATATTGAGAGATAATTTATTTATTTCTGCTGTAGAATTAAAGAGGAGTCTTCTTCAGAAATCCAGTTTCCTGTATTGGATGAGAATGATGAACTCAATGATGCAGAACAATTGTTACAGTTAGAGGGTTAGTAGCTTTTATGTGAATTCAAATATAGGCAGTTATGTGATGCTTTATGCAATAATCTCCTACCCGTATATGAAAGATACATACTGTAAAGTTTCTGGAAAAATCAAATTCTTACTAATTAGGATTTACTTGTGTGTGTATGAATATAGCTAAACTGATATTTAAGTAGAAAAGATACAAGATTTGTTTCATATTTTATTTCATTCCTTGCTCAGGTTTGGGAGGATTTGAAATCACAGTTGAGCATGAGTCTGCCAGTGGACTTACAACAGAGGTTGAGTCAAAGTGGACAAAAGAGGGTATTAAAACTGAGCCTGTAGATACTCCTGTTACAAAGTGAGTACAAAATAGTTTAATGTCATCTTTTTTGAACACTTGCTATCATGAATAGTGAGCTGTACTGCATTGAAGATAAATAAAAATAAAGATGTTAAGGCAAAACACCTCTGCAGCAAAAAAATGAATTCAAGAAAATATATACAGTCAAACCTTGTTATCTCAAACTTCACAGGACCAAGAAAATACTTCGAGATATCCGAGGATTCGAGATATCCAGGGTAAAATACTTAAGAAATAAGCGCTTGAGACTTCAATATATCCGTAGTATTCGAGAGATACCGAAGTTCAACTGTATGTAACATGAAATGGGTGCAAAATACATGTACCAAAAAGATCAGAGCAATTTAAACATGAATTTTGTTAATGTATCCAATAAAAAAAAAGTTAATCACTCAAATATTAGTTAAATAAAAGCATAGCATCCCTAAATAAAAGAAATAATATAAACCTTGACTTATCTAAAGACTCATTTATATCAAATCATCAGTATTTAATGTCTTTTTTCCTATTTCTCTATTTGGACCTAATAAACTTGTGATATAATAACCATATTTCATATTTGCTCTCATCACAACCACTGTCTTTGCCTCCAGATTTTCTTGTCTGAGTTCAAAATCATAGCAGCTATTAATGTTGTGTATTCCAAAATCTTGCCTTTATGATGAAAACTCTTAGTCCCTTTCTTGAAAATGTTGTCTAATTCAGAATGTTGTATAATTTGGCCAAATTTTATGAAGTCATTATTGTCCAGATCAAACTGGTTTAACTGTGTCTTCCGTATATACTCGCCTATAAGTCAGACCGCCTATAAGTTGGTTGTATTTTTTAAGCTCAAATTAGAGGGTTTGGCCTACTAAAATACCAATCTTTTTATAACTCGCGTACAAGTCGGATAAAGAGTTTTGGATCAAAGTTTAACTCCCAAAAACCGACTTATAGGCGAGTATATACGGTACATTAGTATTCTTGAATAGACCTCATACCTAACTATTATTTAGATACATTTTCATATAATAATTATCTGAATAGATTAGAGTAAGATAAATTCAAGTGAAAATTTAGTCTAAATAAATACAGTTTAACTTTGCTATCTTGAATACCAGGGAAATGTAAAAGTGATTTGGCAGTCCCAATAACAAAAAGTTCTTAACCTCAATATCTTGAAGCAAATGGATATCTAAAAGTTTAATCTCAGTCCCATTGAGTTTGAGATAACAAGATTTGACTGTATTTAATTTCACAAAATGAAAAAAAAAACCACCAATTTATTTCAGCATGTCACATAATGCAGACAGACTAAGACTACCATCTTTGATTATACCAGTAGTACCTAACATCAAATATTCATGTTGGTACATGTACTTTCAATTCCTATGTAGTGATTTTATAGTGATTTATGATCATATTTTTACATAGATGCTGTATCTTAAACACATCCCTGTTTTGGAAGCATATTATTATTTCCAGTACAGAGGATTTATACAAGGACATAGTTCTGGCCTTTTTTGATTACAAACTGTACATGTTTGTGTTTTTTATTTAATTTAGTACCAGGGTTAGCACACTAGATGACTATGATGACCCTAGTAGTATCAAAGTACGGACCCCTCGAACCCCTGCTCAGATGAGTGAGGGTGGGGATATCTCTAACCCAGGATCTGTGGCTGCCTCTGATATCATGTCTCCTCCTTCGATATCTAGACCAAGCAAGCCCAAGAAACGGTAAGTCTCTGCCACTGTTTGTGTAAGAGTTGTCTCTCTTTGCTAAAGGAAGAAGACAACAATTCTTCTTTTTATATTAAAAGAAACTGTGGATTAAATATGTCAAAGCAAATTGCATTTGATTTATCTCTTTGTTATTCTGATTATATATAAGATTATCTAATCATTTATTCAAGGGGAATTTAAACAAAGTTTATTTTAAATATTTTGAATTGTTTTATTATTAGATGAAAAAAAATTATAAGTTACAGATTTTTCTTCAATTTGCCTGCATTCATGTATTGCATGTATCCAAAAAAAATAAAAAAAAAAAAAAAATAAATAAATAATAAAAAAAAAAAACCAACAACAACAACAAAAAAACCTACAAGTGACAATTTTATTAGGGAAGTATTTACATGTAAATTGCATTTTAGAGGGACATAACTCTGTCATTACTGTACTTTTTTTTGCAGGAAAAAGTGAAGAATCACATGTTAAACAATAAGAAAACTTATGTTCAACTTGTGTTATCCACCAGATGTGTGTGTTCTGAGGGTTTTTTTTCATTAGTCTAAGAGGAATAGATATTCAAAGATGTATACAACAAAATCTAATAAGTAAATCTCTGTTTCTTTAACAGAATTTTTGTGTGAATGATAGACAGTTTTCTGCATTATATAGTATGAAAGTATAGATGACAGAATTGTTTTCAAAGATTATATATGTAACAATGCATTTTTACAATAGTGCTGTTTTTAAAGACAATAAAAGGTTAAAAAGTAGATGTTCACTTTTATTGGAAATATGTTCAAACAAAGATGATGAAAATAGATTTAAGTTTTCTAACGCCCCCCCCCCCCCCCCTCCTCTTGAATTTGAACAGAAAATTCTGTAGAATGTGGAATAAATCCCAATGATGTCAATTTTTGACAGGGTTTCTCTCCTCTTTTTAACAAGTGTTCAGAGTGCATTACATATGTAAGACTCCAAAGTCCGATGGTGACGCCAAAGTCCGATGGTCTCGCCAAACCCCGATGGTCTGTGCCAAACCCCGATGGTTTGATGTCTGTACGGACACCAAAGTCCGATGGCTCGTCTCCTATGAGATGCGCTGCGCTGAAGTGCGATGGTCTGACACACCAAAGTCCGATGGTGCAGAGAAACAATCAACGTTTATGACATCACAATATTCCGACGTCAATCCTTGACGCCGTCGTCCTGCATTCAAAAGCCATCAGTTCAGTTTTCGTCCTTGCAAACAATCTTACTGATTTTGCTTATTGCTTGCGCCCACCAGAGATATTAGGGTTAGTCCTCGCACACCACTCGACTGATTAGGGTAAGTCCTTGCTTCGCACCAACCCGAGAGATTCAGGGTTTGTCCTTGCACACTAGTCGAGTGATTAGGGTTAGTCTCACACCCACCCAAGATATCTAGGCTATAGTTGTTACACATTTTTTGAGCGATTTGGGTTAGTTTTGCAACTAACCGAGAGATTAGAGTTAGTTTTCGCATAATTATATTTATTTGTACTTTTTTAAGACCTTGGCATGGCGCGGCATTGCAGTTTGGCGCAGTATTACTATGACGTCACAAACGTCAATCGTTTTTCAGCACCATCGGACTTTGGCGTGGCCATCGGACTTTGGAGTCCCATAGCACTTTGGAGTCCTACACATATACTTCTGTATGCAACATATGCCAGTTTATTCATTGTTATGTGAAATTATTTTTGCGACATGGTCATTGAAATGTCCAGGGTTTTTTTTTTGCCCCACTGAAAGGGGATATCTGGTGTGATATCTGACCTTGTGATTTTTTCCTCAATTTTTCTGTCTGTACATTTAGATATGTATATAAACTATAAAGATTATAGTAAGGTCAGGCAATTGCTTTGAAAATAAAGACTTCTGACTACATATCAATGCATGGTATTATGGGGGTGAAGGGGACTTTTTAAGCAATGGATCCAATGAGGTGGTGGATAGCATTGGCTGTTTAGCACTATTAAAGGGTCAAATATATCACCTACATGTTTTGTTTAAATAAAAAGTGTGGTATTTGCAAATTGTATTTAAAGTTGCCTTTTTCATATTTTCATAAAAATGTCACTGCAAGTAGCCATTTATATTTTTGAAGAAGTCCTGGAAACTTGGATCCTAGTGCTGTGAATTTTCAGTGTTTCAAAAGAATTTTCATTTCTTGTAATGTATATTTTACCTGTCAAATCTGCTGTCAATGGAAAAAAGGCAACTTGTGTGAAAATGTTTACTTTGGTAAAATTTAGAAGGGAGGGTTTTCTTTTTCTGTTTACTTTTGTTTCGTAGCTAACTTTTGCAAACATTGATTTTTCAAGAGACTTCTCCCATTAGTAAGTGATAGAGACCGAGGTTTTTGAACCACAGGTGTGTAAAATATCTAGATATTACCATCATTTATTTCTCCTTGTTCTATAAGCATGGTTGTAAATCAAGCTAAGTCTGACTATTAAACAGAGGTTACCTCACAAGGCGAGAATCACTGTGTATAATTTGCCTCACACAGGTTTTAAAACTGGAGAACCCTTATATCAATTTTTCTTTGATCTGATATTGGGGAAAAGTTAAGCCAGGTTTTGTTCTGCTCTTAGAATGGACAGTTTAATGAATGTTTTGATGACTTTTTTACATGGTTTAATTAATGAACAGTTTCAAATTTCTGTATTTGTAAGATGTATATAAAAGCCTACTTGATGCTTTATATTTAATTGAGAATTTTGTTATTTTTTTATGTTCCCCCTCTATGTACAAATTGTTTGATAACAATGATATACTGGACTAATTGTTATCTACCAAGTGTTATTTACCAAAACAAATATATAGTAAAATAGGAGAAATTCAATTACCAGAATGCTGAATGATTTTCACTGGGATCTTACTTTAAGGAGTTGCCATTTTTACACAAGTACAGTATAACTTGGTTTTAAAGAACTTGCTTATAAGGAAATCCTGGATATAAAAAAATTGCTCTATGTTCTTTATACAGTTATAAGAATCTTCATTTATTATTAGGAAGAAAAATTCCTGGTGACTTCATTATCACTGGGTTTTCTGTATTTGGATTTTTTTCTTCTCGTCTGATTTATATTTTTCAGTGTAAGTTGCAACACCTGATGTGTTTCAGTTATTAGCTTTGTGGACCTGTATACAGACATTGATAATGTATTGTCAAATACTAATCACAATTTTTAAATTGTGAATAGTAGAGAAGCTCACAATATGAAATAAAAAAAATGTGAACTTTGGAGAACAATTGCTTTTATAAATTAATCTTTTTCTTTCTTTTCTTTTTTTATTTACATTCATATATGTAAATATATTTTATTCTATATAAATAATATTTATTGATTTTAGATGGTACTTTGTTTTCATAAGTGAAATAGATTCTGTCATACTCCAAAAACAATTCTTTCTATTCCATGAGTGAAAATTACTAAGCTAACAAATTTCATCTCTGGTGACAAAGCTATATATATATAGTTCTTATCTAAATATATTTTTTTAAAAGAAGAAAGGAATAAGCCATTTCATTCCTGTGTTTTAACTCTTATCTGATCAATATTTGACCTCTTTTACTGAAAATAAAGTGTAAAAAGTCAGATGATATAAATTATTTGAAATTTAAGAGGAATTTTTTTTCAACTTGAATTTTTCTTATTCAAATGTATCCTATCGTGAGATGGGTGTTGGACATATTGAATAAATCACATTGATTTCAGTTTATGAGCTTAAGTTAAGAAATTGAGTAGTGTTGTGATAGATGAGGGATTTGTCAAATTTAAACAGTGATCGGAGAAGCGTACATCCTTAACTCTACTTATACGTGTCTTCCAGGACACTTGAGATTGCACAGCAACAGAATAGATGGTAAATATTTGAACTTTTACATAATAGACTTTGGTTGTTTTCTTGTCAAGTTCTTTCTGTAGAAAGTTAGTTCACCATATATTTTGAAAAGAAAAATCTATAATGAACAAAATCAAACTTTTTTGGATCAGGTTTTTTTTGTGATGTTTTTTACAGATTGATTGGAGTCTAAATTTCTTCTTTTTTTTTCCTTAGACAATTTTTTGGATTGCAGATCTATTTTTTGAAAGGAATTGTGCAAAATCTCTTATTATGCTAGAGCATTTAATCCCCTGTTGAATCAAGTAAATGTAGATAATTAATTGGGTCCATGCTCCAAGTGATTTTCAAGAGGGTCGAAAATTTTTGTCCCAAATCCTCTGAAAACATTCTTTTATCCCATTGTCTTGAGTCACGTTGAAATCAATGGTAACTTTAACCTTCTTCGAAGTAGAGGCTTAAACTTGCAATGAGAAATGTCCAATGCTACGTAACGGCTCCATATGTATTGCCAATGTACTTTAATATTTCAGGAAGATATCACCAACTGATTTAAAGGCAGGACTAGACCTTTTGGTTGGTAATGAACCAAAGTTTTTATTTAAAAGGACAGAGGGTTTTTTTATCCTCTGTCGATAGTGCAGTCATTGACAGTCATTGGCAGTGTGTGGATTGGAATTCATTTATGTATCATTTTGCAGGTTCATTGTTCATCAAACGTAAATAATAGAGGAGTATTGGAACCATTTCTTTTCTTTCCGGGGTAACCGATTCAGAACTTAAATTTGGAGCATGTATTGAAAGATTCTTTCTACAAAATATAGGTAAGTAAATAAGAAAATGTCGGACACTTGAAATGGAAATTTATACTACATGCAAGTTTGATATGGGCCATTGATTACCAACCAAGCTTCTGAAATTTTATTTTTTGTTTTTAAGTTTGCTTAGTGATTCTTTTTATTTGATGTTTTATTAAATGAACCATGAACTTTAATCCATAAAACTAATAACTTTTTTCAGATTCTTCAATGATTTCTAAAATCTTAATGAGGACTATATTTAACTCTTTTGTAATGGTTTAAATTGTTTACAATACTTGTACTGGTATTACTTTCGAATAAAAAGTCAGTGTGGTGCGTAGTAAAATCTAGGTTATGAAATAAGTCACTTTAACTTTGATTGATTTACCATAGGATTACTCTACAACTTTAACCATTTGTATTCACTTCAACTAGTTAATTTTAAGTGTGTAGTTCTTTGAAGATAATTATGGGATTATCCACATTAAAATTTTTACTGATATATGAAGTGAAAACAGGGATTTTTTGCTAGTCCTCTGTTGAAAGAAAGATATCTGTGGCAACATGTTGCAGACATTTTGTTTATGTAAATAAGGTATGTTGCTATTGTAAACAGTGTAAAAGATACAACCTAAAATTATTTTATATTTTAATTGTCAATGAGAAGATTTTTCTCTTGGACCCCTAAACTTTTTAGATCTATAATAAACCCAAGTTCAATCTGTTTTTGACCACTGCAAACTTGTCATTTTAAAATCAGCAAGGTTTCCAAATGAAGTAATGTTAAGTTCAAATTGAAAAAGATTTATTTCAAATCAAGTTTTAACAATAGAGTCATTGATTTGAATGAAATCAAATGGACTCGCATGTTGATTGGGATCTATCTGTCCGTAGCCCTTTAAACTCTGCAAGCCTTGGCCTGTACCTGACAATATTTGACACTTCAAATCCTGGGTCTTACTGCTTTGGACGGGGGTATTCTATTGGACTTAACTTAGATGAGATTCAAGATGTCAAAGTATGCACGCGGGGACATACCCCTTGTTGACAAAACTAATTACACGGTCAATATTTTCTCCTCAGTTAACCTACCTAACGTGAGTGGCTCCTGCAATAGTAAAGTGGAGGGACTTTTGTTTGTTTATTGATTAGCTAGCTGGTATAAAATTTCAAATCTCAGCAATTGGCACTACGGTATGGATCTTTGGTCAAACAAAATTATGTGATTTGGGGTAAAGCAACCTTACAAGCAAATAGTTCTGTTTTAACATCAATGGGCCATTATGAATGGCATAAAAGGAAGAAAATTGCATCTGCTTTGATAAAAAGCAGTGGTTGCTATGATAGCTAAAATTAACCTGCTTTTAAGAAATCTGTTTGCTACTTGATGAAACTGGCCTTTTCGTGTCATCTAACATATCAGTTTGGGTGGAAATTGACTTTTGTTGATCAACTTTAAGTATACCTTCAATTACTGCTACGAAACTGCCAGCAATCTTAAACTGAAATCTTGGGCTTTTCATTTGAATGTGTTAAGTGCTCATTATGGAATTACCAAATGAGCTAACCACACAGGTAGATTGATTAGGTTACAAATTGAGCTAATTTTTTTAAGTGGTTATATGATTAAGCCAAAATGTTATTTATTATATCAGCTGGCTTTAAATATTTTTTGACAATTATATATACTAATCAGGAAAATTTTAAGCAGAAAATTGAACTCGAATTACTCTTGACAGTTTTATAATCATGTCCAATTTTCCATGTATCATGATATCATATCATGTATCATATTATATTATATTATGTATAAACAGTATGTCTAGAGTAATATTGCTTGTACTGTACTACAGGTACATGAAACCCCAAAAAACAAATGGCATTGGTTTTGGAGATTATTGGTTGGCCTCTTTCTTGATTTTTAGATTATCTTGTATGGTGGTGCATGAATACCATTATATGAAATTTAGACTTTCATTTGATAGCTACATACCGGTATAACAATGGGTACAAACAGAATTAGAATTCAAAAAGAAGGTTTTTGATGATATGCCCATTAACTTTTATTTCTATGTACATCCAAATTTTCAATCGCCATATTTGCTATGAAACATTGTTTAGTTAAATTCTGATTTTTTTTCTTAAATATAATTTGGTTATAATAATTGAAAGATTTTCATAAAATATTTATTTTTTTCCTATACATTTTGGTAAATACGCAATTGATTTGCAATAAATCATGTTGTTTTTTTCATCATAAACAATGCCTCATTGATTGGCAATTTAAATACCATGATCAATGAACTAGATAACCCCATCTCATGTAACAAAATACAAATATTAAGTGCATTTTATTAAGGAATTATGAAGAAAGGTTTTATTCATTTTTGATCCTGAGTAGAACATGAAGATTACAGCATATACCTCACATGAATTTTAGATATTGATCAGTCTTCAAAAAAATCCGAAATAAGCTGTGTTACTGAATTCATCCTTGGTCCTCAAAAATTGCAACTGTACTTACTTACTTACTTATGCCTGCTACCCCTTTTGGGACATAGGCTGCTGACAAGATTCCTCCAGGCCCCTCTATCCTGAGCAGTGCTTTCTACCTCTTTCCAGTTCTTGCCCATTCTTTTGGCGTTTGCCTCCAAATCTATCGGCCTGGTGTTCTTTGGCCTACCTCTCATACATTTTCCTTGGGGGTTTCAGCAACTTTTTATTCAATAAGCTTTTTGACTATCAACATTGAATGACAAATACTGGCATTATTATGAGCTGATGATTTTTTTTTTCAACTTCATAATTAGATGCAATTTTATTTTGGTTCAGGGAAATCTGTTATATAGTACTTAAAAAAGTTTCCTGGTGTCACTATAGTGTTAAAGTAAAGAGCAAGAGCCTGAGCTGTCAAATTCAGCAACCATTGTCAAATTAATGTAGATTTTTTTTTTTTTTTTTTTTTTGTATAAGAATGTAGAAACAATTTAAGATGACTTTAATTTAAGACTCGGTTTTCAATGTTACCATGGTATGTTTCTATATACATGTATGTTAAATTTTTCTGCCAGATTTCAGCTCTTTATACAAGCAACCAACTGAAAATGGAAAGACACAAAGCAGTTACCTTAGATTCCCCCCCCCCCCCCCCCCCCTTACAAACAGGGACACTCTAATTGTACAAACTGAAGAAATCTACCCTTATACCTCTCAATATAAATATATTTTTGATTCAGTAAAATTCAGTTGTAGCAAACATGGATATATTGAAATTTTATAAAGTAATTTTTTAGATCAAGAACTGCCCGCACCACGTACATGTATACTTTGGAATGAGTTTAATTTGACCCCCCCTCCCACCACCACCACCACCCACTGGATCTTTCTGTGTGATACTTTCATAATAAAGAATACCACTAGATAAACCCATGGTCAATTCATCCCAAGTCATCATGATATAAGCTTTCTGTGAAAATTGTCATGACATATGTGGTTTTGTGACAGGGGCTTTACTTAACTTAAAGATCTGAATGCTTGCTTTGAAAATTTTGTATCTGTAACAAAAATATTTATAACAACTGCATTTCTTTTCATGGAGAAAAGTTGGCACTTCTCTGACCTACAAATGCAATATGTAGATATCAGATATTGACACCAAGGAATTTTATGTTCAGCGATCTTCATTCTGTGTTAAACGACCTTGTTCTGTCTTTCTATGGTGATGTGTTTCTAGAGTGCCACTTTAATTAAATAAAGAGCAAATCTGCCTTATAAGCTATCTAAGCCTTCTTGAGCGGTAGTGCAAAGATTTAAATGAAATACATGCATTATTAATTAGGGATCTGTTCAAGGTACAGACTAGGATTAGGCTACGAAAGGTTACTATTAGAGCATATGCCTTGATGATTTAAATATAAATTTCTGTGTTTCTTTGGAAAAAAAGCACAAATATAGGTTCATGGTCTTAAAAAACAGTATGTCGATTATTTTCAACTTGTGAGTTCATTTTCATACCATGGTTACTTGGTATCCCTTTTTTTCATCATTCTGAGGATTTAAGGTGCCTATAGCCGTTCCAATTTAATTAAACAGACCAAACATCTAAGCCGCTTTGAATGGAGAAATATCTTTAAATCAGGTGCATGCATATTTAATTTTCAGGATCTCAAGGTAACTGATTGGAATTAGATTACTCAAGGTTACAATCTGAGCACACGCTTTGAAGATTTGTCATTTATCTGTCACGTAGTTCACAATGATGTTTTTAATTTTTTCATTAATGATAAACTTCATACCCAAGAAAAGGCTTACACAGGGAGAGGCCAACCTTAATGCATGAGCCTCTGAATTGTCATTGAGCTTGAGAATAATGTTGATTCTCAATCCAGATATAAAATGTTTTATTGGGTGCTGTAATTTTTAGTGATAAAATACTGTTTGAATTAACATTCATTAATTTAGTATTTTTGCTCGTGTGAGCCAAATGATCAGTTGAGCTTTTTCTGATGTAAGTTTTTTTTTGACCACTTGTCAATACTTACCATCTACTTGTATATATACGTTCGGTCATCATATCTGTTGTCCAGAATCCTTTGGAGGCCAAGAATACAGTTTTGTTAAAAGGAAGGACCAAGTCTCCTGTGAAGCAAATTTAATAATGAAAAAGCCTTCAACTGAAAAAAAGGAGTGTGTCACATAAAATCTTCTAGAACGAGTGGGCCAGGGAAATGTGTGATGTTTTCATACAGTAAAACTTGTCTCATCCCAACACCACTGGTTCCAAAGAAATTGGACAACATTTTAAACAAATAAATTTACTGAAAGGGACTTAAAGTTTACATTGATTATAGGCAAGAGCATCTAGATTAGACAAGTTTCACTGTTTTGAGAATGATTCAGATTCGTTCAAACCAGATTTAAAGTACGTGGGAATATGAAGGAATAAATAGAAATCTTTTTCTAAAGAATACCAATTAAATGTACACCAACTCATTTTCATGAAATATCTAACACCTAGTGTTTAGGATAGTGATACATGTATAATCTAGCCCAATAGTCCAAAAAAATATATGCAGGTATTCCAGTATGTAAATATAATGAAAATTCAAATCAAAATTCCTTTGAAAATGTTAAAAGCTTGGTCCTCGGCTTATAATGGGGATACAATAGGGCACTTCATATGTCTGCCAGGAACATCTTATTAGTAATTTGTTTCCCAGAAATGTGACAAAGCTGAACATGTCATCAAGATGTGATGTTAATTCTGTCAACAAAAAGTGAGAGTGGTTGTCAGCAGTCATATTTCATCATTTGTGAATTTGTATAGGTGCTTAGTCGCTAAAATGTTCCTTGGGAAGGTCATGTTCATATGAAGGACTCTATAAACTTGTTAAAGTAAACATGTTGAAAATTTATGATTACCCTAATTTATACATCCCTGTTAATTAGGTGCCAAATTTTTTGAAGAAACAAGAATAGCAGATAAAAAGAAATTATTTATGTCTGGGTGGAGCTTGTCAAATTTCATTCTAAAAAATGGAGGGGCTGATCAGTGTATATTTACCCTCGAATATTGATTTAAAGGAGATCGAGGTATTATGAATTTCTTTATCAGGATAAATCGGACTGATTTAATTGGAGGCAATTTAAGTTATGACAAATTCAACAATGTAAAGAATGTGTTTAGAAAGTTTCTACAACAGATTTCAGTGTCTGATAAAAAAAGGAATAACTTTAAAACTTATCAGTTGATCAATTTTACTAATTTAAACTCACTGTGTAAAAGGAGAATTGCAAACTACTTACATGTATGATAGAGAAGGAATTTGACTGAAAGTTTTGTTCTGACAGATTTTGCAGGAATGTCAGAAGTGGTAAAAGATGTTACACAATATCAGTAATTACTTTTTCTGAATTATATATAGACTAATAGGACATTTTTTAAAAATTTTATTCAAGGTTGATTTTGAGAGACAAAAAATCATATAAAGACAAAATTTATAATGGTTGAATAACCGGTAAGAAATGTAACTGACATTCATCACAGCTTTACAGCCTGTTACCTAGAAAATAGTAACCATCTTTTCTTTCTTTTACAGAGATGAAATGAGGTCAGTTATCCACACCAAATATTTAAAATGGAGATTCACAGTGAAGAGAAAGTGGAAATGCTTAATGGTGGAAGGGCAGTAACTCTTACTAATTCTCATAACGGAAAGAGTATGCAAGGTGTAGGAGAGGTTTTTGACAAAGTTCAGAACAATGATGATGTGATTGTAGTCAATGAAGGAAAAGGGGAAAATCATGACAGACCAAAAACACCATCTAAACATTCAGTTACTCAAGGTGTGAAAAATAAATCCGAACTTTCTCAGAGACATGGAGAAAAAGTATCTCATGTGAAAAATAAAGATGATGTCAAAATTGAAAAAGAAAACATTCCCACAAAGTCCCCTCCAGTAAGACTATTATCCAATGAAATGTTACGTCATGTCGTAACTATTCCCATTCAGAAAATGGAAGAGGGTGATGACCTTGGTATCTATGACGACCCAGGAGAATCGGGGGAGGACTTGGATGATGTTGATGGGCCAGATAAATCGGATACTATCCTCCAAGAAACAGGTGTCGAAAAAGCTAAAATTCCCCCACCCATCTTGAGAAATTCTGCTGTCCGAAATCCATCTGATGCTCCGAGACAGGAAAACATGAGATATTCAGAAAATTCTGTGAATTTTAGGGAAGGTTTGACTGCTTTTGATGAAAATGCCAATCGAGTGAGCTGGTCAGCCATTAACAATCATTATGATGAAGCTAGACATTTATCAGGGATCCGAGGGAAGGCCAACACTCCAGCAAGTTTCATCACAGACATATCATCAGAATCAAGGTAGGAGAAAGGTTTATTTTGAAAGAAACTTACTGTATTAGGGATTATAATAACTGTATTTCACTCTAAATGTTAATTCATGAGTAAATTTCAAGATGTACAGTTTGACATAGCATCATGTTTGCTATTTTTATGCCCCTGTAATCAAAGATTCATGGGGACAATGTTTTTGGTCTGTCTGTTTGTCTGTTTATTTCCAAAAACCTTTAACATTGCCCATAATTTTTGAATGGTTGCTGATAGGGCTTTCATATTTCTCACACGAATTCCTTGTGACAAAACCTTTCTTTGGATACCAACATTTTCGACTTGACCTTGGAGTTTGACCTACTTTTGAAAAAACTTTTACTTTGGATATAACTTCTGAATGGATGGTTCTAGGACTTTTATGTTTCACATATATATTCCTTGTGACAATTAACACCTATCTTTAGGTACCATTATTTTTGACCTCAAGAACTTGACCTTGGAATTTGACCTACTATCAAAAAACTTTTTCTTTGCAATAACCTCTGAACAGTTGGTGCTATAGCTTTGGTATTTCACAGTGTATTCCTTGTGACAAGACCTTTCTTTGGGTACCACATTTTTGACTTCATGACCTTGGAATTTGACCTAGAACTTTCATCTTTGTTAAGAGCTGCCATACAAGGACATCATTGTTTCACAAACATATCTTGCTGATTTAATCATACCCATTCTCAGGTAATTAAAAATATTTGTCAATGGCAAAAACAGTTTTTAGAAAGAAAACCTTACTTCTGCATGATTAGTTTGTATTAATTTGTTCAATGAGATTTTCCTCCACATACCAGAGTATATTCTACTCATCAGTTTAACCAGGCTGTTCAAAAATTAAGGGGGAAAAATCCTAAAAGTAGACACATCAATTCTTGTTCAATTCAGACTGCGTTCAAGAAAAACAGAGGTTGGATTGGGAAAAAAATGGAGTTAGTCCCCTTTGACTCTTTTTAAAATTCAGATATTGAGTTACATTTTGGATTGTCACCAGCACAATCTTAATTAAATCACAGCTGGCTTCAGATAGGCCGATGTCTACTGATAGCATTCAAAAACAAAGAATATCTTTCATATTAAAGTAATTGTGAACAAAAAACAAAACATCCACACTTGAATGATGCCAACACAATATGGTGGCATTGAATTGTTTCTTCCTCCGAGTTACCGTATTAGCTGTGTAAAATTTGATTTGAATAATCAACGTTAAAGGGAATAATTGTATGAACATTTGACAACCATGGAACTTTGTAAAGAGTTTTTTTTTTAATGGAAAATCTTTGTAAGTTACTGTGTTGGACCCCAGAACACAAAATGTTGGACTTTCTTGTTTCATTTAGCAGCAAAGTGCAAATATAAAGGACAGGAAATTAATTTTTCACCTGCATTGAAGTAAAAGTGCGTACTTCTTAAAAAGTTTTTTTTTTTTTTTACCTTGATTAGTGAAATTCACATGAAGTGGACAATTATATTCCCTTGATTTGGCTTTAGAAGTATGCACGTTTACCTGCATAGAGAAAGGTACATTTATATACGTATTTTTTTTTTTTTTTTTTTTTTTTTTTTTTTTCTTTTGAAGCATTGACTTGAATTTTTGATTTTTTTTTTAAATATTTAAATTTCATATTTTATATATTCAAGAATCTTTTTTTTTTTTATATTTCTGCTTTTATCAATGTAAGCATTGATAGAACATCAATAGAACTGTGATTTTTGTTAGGGTATTTATGGTAGTTGAAGCATTTGTCTTCATGTGTCTTGAGGTATGACAAATTATGATTCCCCAGAGATATGCAGAATTAACCTCTTGTTCTTGTCATTATTCACAAACTTTGTGTCAATCTGGTTCCCCAAATATGTAATGCTCAGAAAAGTTTTCGCAAGTCAGACATGGTGCTGGGATTCTATTGATAAATGGTCACTCTCCTGATATGATTTCATTTTATGAAAGCTAAGTATGTAAATATTAAGGAAAGAAACAGTGATATGTGAAAGTGAATCTAGACAATTTATATCAGGGGAAATTGATTGAATTTTTAAAGTGGAAGAAAAGATAAAAATTGCTCTGAAAAATGGCAGAGAAAATGGATTACCGCAAGGATGTGATTCGGAACTTGGTCAAAAGTGCTCCAGCCAGGTAAGAAAGATGCTTTGTTCGTAGTATGCTTTGACCAGGTGGTGAAGTTGGGACATGGGTTTTGAGTTTTGGTTAAGGAAACATTATCACTGGGTATTCTTGTGTATTAATTTGACATTTACTTTCTAATCAATATATTAAATAATATAAATTTGCAATGCCCTATTGTACACATGTAATTTTTATATGCAGTCTGAGTAGTAGATTTTCAAAGAGGTAAAATGAAATGGTGGTTAATTTTGGGATGAAACTAACCCAGAGAATAGTGTCTTCTGCTGAACTTGTACTCTTTTGGGAACTCAGTACCAATGCAAGAAATTCTAAACAATTTTACCTTAACTATGTAACAATATTTCTGAAGAACTCATGCTTCTATTAGAGGGTTTACATTGGCATTACGTGCCTTCTGTCCAAACCTTTGGCATTAAACCATGTTTTTTTTTTTTTTTTTTTTTTTAAATTTTGGAGAGTTCCAAATACTCTGGAGAATTTGCTCTTTACAGAGAACCTTTTGCATAATCATCGGACACATGCTCTTTGCAGAAGAAAAAACTTCTTGGCACAAGTTCTACAAATGCCATTCAGGTTCATTTTTACCCATAAATCTTGGTAATTTTGATATTGACATCATCTAAAACTGATCTTTTCTATTAAAATTATATTGCATAACATTTCAGAGCTCTGTATCCTAGAGTTTTCTATCAAGATTGAAAATTTATTTCCAGGTTCCATGTTATTGAATGACCTATTGCCATTAATGTTAGCCCCAAGGCCTTTCAAATTTATGAAAACCCTATCACTTAGAGTTTCAACACAACGCAATATTATATTTCTTATCTGCTTTCCCTTATATTCTCTGCCTGACTTTATCTCTTAACTTTTATTATGAACTTTGGGGTTTTAAACAGAAGATAACAATTTTGACTTTTTGTTCTGGGCATTTTTTCAGTCCTCTTTTTGCTGTCTTTCCTTTTGTGTTTTTGTGGGCTGAAATGTAGCGTTCCTTTTTTTGGTAAATGGAAAACAAACTTGGTTGGAACAATAGTTTTTTGTATCTGATGGTACTATGGAGAGGGCAGTCCAAATTTTTTCTCTTGGGGAAAATATTTCAGTGAGTTATAAAACTTTTGTAGAATAAATTTGGAATCCAGAGTTTGAATATACCTAAAAGTTTCATCTGTTTCTCTTCCATCCATATGGCTTCAAGTGTTTATAAAATGAGAGTTCGGTTTGAAACATCTTTGGCACGATCTAAAGACTATGTTCCTATTGGAAAGCGATCCTACATGAAAGTGGAGTCCGAAAAGGATTATGAAACCTATATGGGAAGCAATGCTGGATTTCCTTCAAGGCCTGCAAGTTATGTTTCATTTTCCACAAATATTTCCACACCAATCAGTTATAGCAATGTCCTGGAGTCCTATGCGACCAGCAATGCCAACAGTGACCCAGCAATGAGCAGGCCTGGGAGTTACCAGTTCCTTAACCAATTACCAACACGACCAAATAGTTATTCCACTTTTCCCTCCATCAATTCTCGTCCGTCTAGTTATGTATACCCAGGAAACAACCCTCCAAGATTTGATCCAGAGCCAACAAGAGTAGACTTCACTAAACATGCTATCTCTAAGCTTCCATCTATATCTTCCATCGATACAAGTTGCTCAGGGTAAGTGCCTGGCTTACTGCAGAGGAATAAAAATATTTTCCTGTTAACAAATATGTCTACATTTAAATCATGTATTTTAAAGAGATGAGTTGTGTAAATAGAAAATTCAATTCAAGAATTGATAATGTGCAAAAAAAACTAGGTAGCGAGAGATTTATGGCATTATTAAATTCCCTGATGCCCAATCATCTTCTGGGTTTAGATTCAGTGATTAAACCACCCTGACTGCAAGCAAGCACAAACACTGAATTATACAAAACAGGATTTATTAAGCCTGTATAGATTAAGTTCTACCTGAACTTTACTTCAAGGGAATAATTGCCCTTAATTCTAGCAAGTACCGTATTTGAAAGTTAATAGCTTATCCCACAGAATCATTTGAAATGTATTTGGAAAGTGAATTTCTTTCGCTCCATAATGGTCGATGCAGTCTACAATTCAGATACTCAGTAGTTTGGAGCATTCCAGAAGTGAATATTGTTTTTAGCCTGTCATCTGCTCGCAGATTTGGACATTACTAAAGGACTTTAACTTCAGATCTTTTTCTTGACTGTCAATTTTCATATATGGAGCTTTTCTTGGCATGAGTTTTTTTTCTGTTGGATGATTTTTAGTTTACTGAAAACATTTACTCTTTGAAAATCTTGAAAAAGAACGATGTCAGTGGTGCATGTCTCTGTGAAGCCATCGTGCTTGTTTTGTCAGTGCTTGGCGGTGGACAAGATTCAGGAGTGTGAGGAACATAGGGTCCTTGAGGACATCAGCTCCTCAGATGGGGAGGAGAAGGAACTGGGGTTCACAACAAAAGCACAAGAAGATGAGGACCAAGCCTTTGAGACTGATGAAATGTATGGGTATTCTATCAATAGATTTGGATGTCAATAGTTTACATTTCAGGAAAATATTTTTGTTGAATAAAAAAATTGTAAATTTACTTGTAAATATGTTATGGTCAAGGATAATTTTTTTTGGGGGGGGGGGGGTGTTAACCTATTTACAAATGCAAGACTTATTCATTTAGATTATATTAGTTTCTCTGTTTCTTTTCTGTAAGTCTGGGGGTATTTTGGTACTCAGAGTAATATCTAGCCATCTTGTTTTCTTTTCAAAATTCTTTTGCAGTATCGTTGAATAGAATTGAAAGTAATGTCATTATGCCTTTGAATGCCTTTTGTG